GTTCTCTGTAAGAGCAGTCAGTGATCTTAACTGCTGAGCCACCATGCAAGGTACGGGAAATCAAACCAGGGTTCTCTGTAAGAGCAGTCAGTGATCTTAACTGCTGAGCCGTCTCTCCAGTCCCCAGAGTTCAATCTTGGCACATCACAGATCCTAGTTTTCCTGGGTGCCCTTTACTTCCTTATAAACCCAGTGTGAAGGACACAAAACTTCATACAATATGTAACAGGATGCTGAATCCTTTCCAGGATTCTCTCTACCCAGAGTTCTCAGCAGGTCCTGCCTTTAGATTGTCATCAAGATATCCATGATCTGCATGACATCGTGCATGCCAGATTTGGATACTTCACAGAAAGTTCACTACAGTGGCATCACTTACAAGCAACCATTTCCATATTGCTTACTTTCACAACACTATGAATAAATACCTGAAATAAACAACTTACAGAAAGATTCTACTCATGGAGTTTCAGCCCATCAGGGCAAAGAAGTAGAACAGAGCAAATCACATCATGGTGGCCAGGAAGCAGAGAGGAACAGGAAAAAACAGCAAGAGGCCAGGGCAAGATACAGCCTCTAAGGATACATTCCCAGTGACTTAAGTCCCCCAAGCAGTTCCATTACCTTAAAGTTTGAATTTATCAATGGACTGACCATTCTTTCTAGGTCAGAGACTCACGACCTAATAGACACAACTAGAAGAGGAATGCTTTACTAACACCCAAGGTGTTTCTTATTCTTGTCACAGGCTTTGTTCATTTGTTTGAGACAAGGTTTTACTATATAGTGCAAGCTGGCCTTGCATCGGCTATACAGTCCAGGTTGGCTTCGAACTCACAGTAACCCTCCCTCGGTCTCCAGAATGCAAGGTTCACAGGTGTACACCACCAGACCCAGCTCCAAAGAGGCTGAAAAATCAAGACTTACCACCACAATTGCCATGTTAAGAATCTGTTCTATGGAACTTGGTGTTTATTTTAGTATCTACAAATTCCCAAGCATCACTGATATAATAGAATTGTTTTAATGCTCTAATTATTTTGGTTTTTATTAAGTTTTCATAAACATTATGAGTGTTTTCTTAGTTTCCATTGAGGCATAATGCTTTTCATAAAAATCTTCCATAAATAGGGCTAGGAAGATGGCTCAGTCTATAAGTGCTCATTGCACAAGTACAGGTCCCTCAGTTCAGATTCTCAGCACCCACAAAAATCTGAGTATGTGGGCATGTACCTGTAATTCTAGGCCTAGGGAATCAGAGACAGGCAGATGCATAGAGCTTGTTGGCCCGCTAGTCCTGCCAAACAGATAAGCCCCACCCACATTCAGAGACAGGCCCCATCTGAAAAAAAAAAAAAAAAAAAAATCAGAAAATTAAGGTGGAGAGTGATAGAGGAAGACACCCAACACCAACCTCCGGCCTCAGTTTGCACTCCCACACGTATAAAATCTCTCATAACATGACCTTAGTAGCATTCTAACCATTGTTGACAGACATTCAAATAGGAACATCAGTTATAAAGATATTCACATAATCTTATCAGCCCACAGTAGAATGAAATATAAATCAACATAAATACAGACTGAACAATGCACTTTTGAGAATGAGTCACTGAGGGCTGGAGCGATGGATCAGCGGTTAAGAACACTGATTGTTCTTGCAGAAGACCTGGGTACAAATCCCAGTACCCACATGGCAGCTAACAACTGTCCAACTCTAGTTCCAAGGGATCCGACAGCCTCTTTTGTCCTCCACAGGCATTGCACGACATGGGTGCACTTACCTACATGCAGGCAATACATTCATATACATAAAATAAAAATAATAAAATATCAAGAAAAGAAAAGAAAGTCACTGAAGAACTCAGGGAAGAAATTTAAAATGTCCTGGAAACAAATGAAAATGACAGCACAACCTACCAGATCCTTCGAGGAGCATTGACAGCCCTAAGGGCTTATAATTTAAAAACTCAAAGAGGGTCGATGAGATGGCTCAGCTTGCCGCAAGCCTACCAGCCTGAGTTCAATCCCCAGAACGTACATGGTAGAAGAAGAGAAGCAGACCCCCACATGTTATCCTCTGACCTACACACAACACAAATATGCACACATGCACACACATAACAAATAAGTATTTTTTAAGAAAAGTCAGAGATGGCAAATAAACAATGATGCACACTCAAGGCTCTAGAAAAACTAGGCCAAATCCAAATCCAGTAAATATAGTATGGAACAAAGATTAGGACAGAAATTGATTAGAACAATGCATAGAATCAAGTAGTTGGTTTTTTTAAAGGATGAACAAGACTGACAAGACTCCAACCAAACTAACAAAAAGAGAGAAGACGAATAATAGAGATGAAAGAGAAGCTGCTACAACAAGAAGATTATTTTGGGATACTTTGAAAACTTACATTCCAAAGGCTAGAAAATCTAGAAGAAATGGATACCTGTCTAAACTTGTGATCTATCAAAATTAACACCGGAAGATAAAAACAAGCAATGAAATTGCAGCAGCAGTTGAAAGTTTTCACACAAAGAAAGGGCCAGGACAAGATGGATTCACTAGTGAATTCCTCAAACTTTTAAGGAAAGTCTAACACCAATACTTCTCGAACTAGTCTACAAAACAGAAAGGGAAAGAACAATACCAAACTCAATTATATGAAGTCATTATTAGCCAGATACCAAAACTGGATTAAAAAAAGACCTAACAACAACAACAACAACAAAACCACAGACCAATTTCCAAAGACATCCTTCACAGAACTAGAAAAACCATCCTAGAAAAGAACATAATTTGCAATGTGATTCAGGGCATGAACACTGGGGATGGGGAAAGTACTTTGCCTGGTCCAGGCATCTTTGATCGAAGTGTGGGACTCCTGAAAAGCAGAGAGCCTTTCCAGGTACATCAGAAGCATGAAAGGGGTCAAAGAATTTGAGGACGGAGCCTGCTGTGGCAGGATTTGAAGATCAAGGAAAAGGGCCACCAACTAAGGAATCTGACAGTCTCCAGAATCTGGGAATTGTCTCGGCTACAGAAGAATAAACCAGAAATTCAAGAGCAACAAAACGCTGCTCCCAGCTTGATGGCTACGGAGAGGCTATAGCTAAACATGATGCCTAGAGGTAGGTTTGGGGCAAGATGTTAAAAAATATTAGAAATAATGTTCCCAAGTTCAAAGATCATTCTGGAAAGCCCTAATTACAGTAAGCAAAGGAACATAAAAACTACTGCTGTGTTCTGTTCTCTGCCCAAATGTATGAAGCTGAATGGAGTGACCGTGGGTCCAGAAGCCTTAGAGAACAAATGAGCCATGGAAGCTGAAAGCCTGCCTATGCGCTTCAGGAAAAAATAACCACAGCAGCAACCAAGAAAAACCTTAGCTTTTGAATGCACAAAACCTGGTACTTCCCTTTATTTGCTTTGGCTGCCTTAAAGGTCACTAAATCTAAATTCATTATGCAGAAATAACTTTCCTGCTTTCCTGCTCCTTGCTACATTTTATAGAAGCTTTAACATTAAGGTGTTTTCAACCATTTTCTGAAGCAGGTGGGCACATGGCATAAATAAGACAGTTGAACTGCAGTATCTGGATTCCTAGTATCCCTAGGTAGTTCATTCTTGTCTACAATGAGAAAATCAAGGTAAGAATTAAATGAAAACTATTTACAAAAGAGAACTATACTGACAAACCCACTAATTTCCCTCTCCTAACTCTGTCTACCAAAATCAAGCTTAGGAGTTGAGAACACAGCTCCCTGGTAAAACTTTTTTACCTAGCATGGTAAGGGCCTGTGTTTGGATCTAAAAACAAGACAGCAAAAAGATAAACAGGTAGAGATTTACATTTAGCTCATAAATTTTTAAAAGAACAATTGTTAATTAATTCATGGCTTAATAACAAACAATAGAAATCAATGCATCGTCTAAATGTAGTAAATCAGAATCAGTCAACTAATGACAATACTATCCAACAATTAGGTTCAAGAAAACAAAATGGGCAGCTTTAATTTGGGCAAGACTTTCTAAGTAAACTGACAAAACTCATACGAAGCAATCATGAACATATCAACGAAGAAAACTCACCGAGACAGAATCACACCACTATTTTTTCCTGTCTGTTCTTTTTTGACTTTTTTCCATGTCTAGAACACCACAATACAAACTATGGTTTGTAGGCCAGCTTCTGAATTCAAGCTTTATTGGTTTATTTAATGTCTACGGGTGCTTTTGCTCTAGGATGGAACAGGTGAACAGTGATATGGACTATCCAGCTTGCAAAGCTGAAAATATGTCCACTAGTACCCCCTAGTCTAGACTTTAGGCCCTAGAGATCCTCACTAACAGAGATACATTTTCTTATACGTGGAAGATAATTCTCTACCAACATAAGTGGATGCTTGGTTGGTGGTCTGAACATTCCCAGAAAGAAAACAAACTATAGCACCCTACATTCTTACTAATAATCTGAAAAATGAATGAAACATACTAATTAACCAGCTATTTATATTTATGAAGCATTAACAACATTAAGATTATAATCACTTGTATATGTGTATAAAATAGATACATGTAACAAGGAGGCCAAAAAGTCATACTTTGCAGAAATCACCTGGAACATCACCACAGGTAACTCCAAAGCTCTGAGTTGTCCAGAGTATGAAAGCCCTAGCATGTGGCTACTGGCAGATTCTCTTTCCCCACCTCCTCACTGGCATCTAACTTACATTAAGGTCTTCAAGTCACTGGGCATGAAGAGAAAGTGAGATTCCCACCCACTCCTCATTCTCTCTTTTGCTTCTCAACCATGAGGCTTTGTTCCACCGCAAACATACCAAGATACGTCCAAAGTAACAGGGCCAACCAGTCATGGGCTGAAACCTCTAAAACTATGAGGTAAGTAAACCTTTTCTATTATCTCAAGTGTTCACTACAGTAACAAAAAGCTGACTAACAGTCTCATTCCAAGATTGTATTTGAGTAAACATCCTACCTTAATAGAAGCAATATGAAGCAAAGTCTCTCCTCTGTGATTTCTTTTCCCAGTCACACGGCTACTGGGTGACAGCTTCACTGTGGAGGGGCTTGGCATCATTTGTCTGTAAGTTGAATTATTCAGTGTAGCTGTGGGTGTACCGGGTGAAAGGCTAAGGGAGTCATCTGAAGCATTATTGCTTCTCCCGAGTGAGGCATCAACCTGAAGTTTGCCTGAAGGTGGGGAGGAACAGTCCAGCAAAAGTATGCTTTCTGTACACATCCTTGGTTTGACAAACTCTCTCCTGGTGCTTGGAATGTTGCTTTCAGATCTTTTACGAGTGGGACTCGAAGGTCTGCCAAGGCTTTCATGATTTCCACTGTACCCTGACGACAAAGATGTCTCTGAGCAACGATCCTGCACACAGACCTTGCTCTGAGGAGTCCCTTCACTGCTGCTCTCAATCTCTGGAGACACAATATGCTCAGCCAGTGGTAAAGAGCCTTCAGTCAAGCTTCCAAAACATTCAGATTCAGCTACAGAGCCACTTGCTAGTAAGTCTATTTCACTGTTTATCTGTGGACTCTCAATAACAGACGGTTGGCTACAGAAAGACACCAGTCTCTCCTTAAATTCTTGTTTGGAATCAGGTTCACTACCTTCTTGCTCGGGCCCCAAATTCCATTCTTGGTTAATCTCAGCTAAAGTTTTCTTCTGCTGCTTTTTCACAGATGTAGAAGCCACTTTAGCTCGCTTAGAAACAACGTCAGGAGGAGTTAGAGAAACAAAGTCAAACACTGAGGTTTGCTGAGTCTTTTGAGGCTGAGTTTGTGCTGAAACTTTATTCACAACATATCTGACCTTCTTCTTTCGAGGACTAAACCACATTTTTATTGAATTCTTCTTGTTTACTGCATTACTAAATAAATCTTCCCCAGATGTATCTTCTGGATCTGACAGAAAAAAGGAAAATAAATGTGCTCCCATCTTGAGCTATCAACAGATTTTACTTATAATTCCCCTTATAAGGGGTATCACCTGTTTTTATTTGTATATCCTTTTCTCTACTCTTAGACTACAGTCTCCTGGAGAAGAGGCAGATAGTCATTCATTTAACAAATGTTTACCAAATCCTACATATGCCAGTGTTCCAGAAACAGGATATAAGGCAAGAATAAAACATGGAACTTACAGTCCACTAATAATACATAAAATTAAGTGGAATAGTAGAATATGTACGTATTATACCAGATACCAGATGAAAGCTAAGGAACAGAAATATCGGGGGGGGCGGGAATGAAAAGAGGATGAAAAGATAAAATGTAGAAATAATAAACAGGGCATACTAACTGATACTAAAATTTTTTTAAAGATATTTACAAATTAGCAAGGTACGGTGGCACACGCCTTTAACCCCAGCACTTGGGAGGCAGAGGCGTGTGGATCTCTGTGAGTTCAAGGTCAGCCTAGTCTACATTTTGAGTTCCAGGCCAGCTGGGGCTACAGGGAGACACTGTCTCAAAAAACAATAAAAACAAACAAAAGCATTTGCTAATCAATCAATATCCTGCAATAAATCAAAAAAAAATAGTAAACAGAAACAAGAAAGAGAAGACCACTCACCCTGGCATGAAAATAAAAATCATTGCAAACCACTTTCTCATAGGAGCCTTTTCTTCTGCATTAAGGTGTGTTAACCTCAATCTTCACATGTTTGAAAGGTCACACTTTTCTGTGAACTCCCAGGTATGCATCTGTTTTTGTTAATCTGTTTTGTTGTTTTTCAGTTTAATTCGTAGGTGCCCACGCAGAAAGCCAAGAGGGTCAAGGCGAATCCTTCCTACCTGACAACTTGAACAAGACATCTACTCCTCTACTCTCTGATACTTAAGGCCAGCTCCCCTCAGGTAGTGATACTTTGGTTTGGTTTTTAGGTTCACTCATTTTTCTTTTAAAAAAAATAATAATAATCCTACGGCTAAGGCGCATAACTCAGAGGCAGAGCATGTGAGAGATTCCATCCCCAGCACCACATAAAAAAAGTAAACCTGTTTTGGTTTAACTTTCACTCTTTCCTCTCCATCTACCTCATATAAACACAGATAAAACCAACCCAGTGGTAAACCAGAGATGATGCTCAGTAAAAATTGATGAATAAATTCTTTGATATCTTTTTCAATTTGACATTTATAAAGAGGCATTAGAATTAATTTCACAGGAAGCATTGTAGTTCAGTGGTATAGCAAAAACAGCATATGTAATGCTCTGGGGTCAAGCCCCACCTCTAAAATAAAATAACTAATTTTAAGGACTAGGAAACAACTTGGAGATTCTCTAGTCCAATTTTCTCATTTTAAAAATGAGGAGCCAAGGGGCTGGAGAGATAGCTCAGTGGTTAAGAACACATGGTACTCTTGGAAGGGACCCAAGGTCTGTTCCCAGTACCCATTTCAGCAGTTCACAACCACCTGTAACTCCAGCTCAAAAGTACCTACCACGTCTGGACGTGTCTGGTTCTGCTGGCACAGAACGCATATGCTCATCCACACTTGGACACATACACACACATACACAAAACACAATCATTTTAAAGATAAATCTTTTATAAAAATGAGCCAAAGTTTGTTTAACCAAGAAGCAGAGGGACAGAATATAGCTTCCAATGTGCTACACATCCCTCCGCCAAAAGTGGATCATCAAAAGGTCAATTAAAGTATAAGAAGAACACAAGTAAGGCAGGGTTCCTGGAGAAGCAACACCTGACAAGACCGCAGCAAGTGGATAACAAACGACTTGTGTGGCCTATTTTCACTCTCCAGTTTAACACATACAATGTAATTCCTCTGATCAACTTGGCTAGCGCAAGTGTTTTTCCTACTACAAAAATAAAAGGAAACACATCGATTCTAGTTTTATCACCAGAAGTCACTTTTCATGGTAAGAACTCTGAAAAACCTTTCTTATATCACAGAACTAAAGAAATGTTAACAGCAGAGCTCTAAAAAAGAGTATGAAAACCAATGCCCACTAGTGCATCTCATTCCTCAGGATTTGTAATATCAACAGTGTAAAAAATAAATAAAAATATTAACTAGGCAGGGTGGCACGTGCCTATAATCCCAGCAATTGGGAAGTAGAAGTAGGAAGATCAGGAATGAAGACTATCTTGGGCTACGGAAGACACTGTCTCAAAAAATAAGGACCCACCACGTCTTTAGGCGCACCTTTAATCCCAGTACTTGGGAGGCAGAGGCTGGCAGATCTCTGAGAAGGAGGCCTGCCTGGTCTACAAAAACATTCTGTCACCAAAAAAGGAAAGAAAATAAATAAACATGATTAATTTTAAATGGGCCTACTCTTGAGAACATTTATTATTCAGGGTAACATAATTAAATTTGTACTGTTTTTTGAAAAGAAATTTAAACATTCTCATGCCTTGATTTCTCAATGTTATCAATTTTTACTGCCTTTTTAAAAAACACTTTTTATCACACAGAGCATTGTTTTGTTGCTTTGCCAGCTTACCCAGTTATTACCACACTAAAAATTAACTCAAATATCAACTCTTAAATGTTCAGAATAATTTCCTTTGTCTGATCTTTCTTTCACCTCCCATTTCTTGGCTACATGAGTCTGTCTTTATAAACACATCTACCAGGTTTAAAAGCACCCTAAGGGAAAAGAAATGGAAAATACTGAGTGTTAAGAAATAAGTAACGAGGAGCTGGAGACATGGCTCAGAGGTTAAGAGCACTGGCTGCTCTGGCAGAGGACCTGGGTTCGGTTCCCAGCACCCACATGGTGGCTAACGACTGTAACTCCAGTTCCAGGGGATCTAATGCTCTCTTCTGACTTCCACAGGCATTGCACAACACAGGTACACCTAACTCCTTGACATACAAGCAATACACTCATACTCATAAAATAAAAATAAAATATTTTAAAGAAATAAATAACTAGCTTTCAACCCTGTAGAAATTTCAGATGTAATTCTTGCCTAACAACAACAACCATTTTAGTCAACTTATACTCTAAAAGCTGACACTTCCTCCTGGTGAAACGGAAGCAGTACAATGAAGACAAGCAACAGTTAAGCTTGTCAAAAGCGAGACTACAGCTAAATGAAGGCAGATTCCTACATCTTCTTCACCTTTGAGGTCATTACTCAACAATACATGGTCTACAAAGTGTTTCTGAGACAGGATCTTAGGAATCAAAACAATCAGAATAAAGTGTCCATTCACACAGAAACTTTACATCTAAATTCAACAAGGTCTTGTCTTTGCAGTGATAAGTAGTAGATTTCAAAACCAAGCCACTTCTGATATAATCCCCAGTCTAGAGAAAAGGTCAAAATGAAATGTTACCAGGACTACTTTTTAAGAAGGACTCAGAATTACAAAGACTTAAAGGTTAATTCTCAAGTAGTCTGTGAAAAGTTGTATTTGGTTTTAATTTATTTTTTAAACACATGTTAACTTTTCAATCAAAAACAAGTCAAATTCTCTGTTTATAGCAAAATTAAGGCATGTCAACAGCAGTGACACATTCAACTGACTAAAAACCCCAAATCTAAAGAAATAAACTTCATTCTCAGTAGATTATAATTCCTAATTTATAAAAAGAGTAAGCAAAGAGAGGGGCTGGAGACATAGCTCAGCAATTAAGAGCACTGATGCCTCTTGCAGAGGACCCAGATTCAGTTCCCAGCACCCACACGGTTGCTAACAACTATCATCAACTCCAGTTGCAGGGGATCCAATGCCCCCTTCTGGCTTCTGCAGGCACTGTACACACACGCAGGCAAAACACTCATATACATAAATCTTCTTAAAAAGAGAATACATAGTGAAGTAATTTATATGTACACAATCATTTTATTAACTATTGTACACCTTTGCTCAAAAAGATTTTAATCATTTCACTTTATATAACAGAACAAGAGCAACCACAAACACAACTATGAATTCTGAATTTTATGCAGCATATGTAAGATAAAACTGAAAAGCAAAACACCAGTTGCTAGAACATAAATCATATTAACAGATACAAGTGTTTTTGTGGGTGAATGCTTCTAAGCCTAATAAATTATCATATTCATTTCATGAAGAAAAAGATTGGTCCTTCCTCTACAGAGCAAATTTCCTTTTGAAAAGCATTTTATTATATTTATTTTATGTGTGTGTATGAGTGTATTGCCTGCATGTACTTAAGTGCACCCACCATGTGCAATACCTGCGGAGGTCAGAAGAGGACATCAGATTCCCCCAGAACTGGAGTTACAGGCAGTTGTCATCTGCTATGTGGGTGCTGAAAATCAAACCCGGGTCTTCTGGAAGAGCAGCCAAAGCTACTAACCACTGAGCCATCTCTCCAGCCCTCATAGCAAATTTCTTAATGATGACACTTAAAAGAATCCTATTCTCTGAATTTAAATATTTCGGAATATACTACAAAATATCAAGGAACAGAGAGAGACGCATGTGTTACTAAGGAACTGCTTAGCCAAGTTTTTTCTTAAAATTTAATAATAAGCTATAGAAAAGAGAAGCAATTAGAAAATGTGATTTTGCTATCATTAATCTACATCAAAGGATAATGATGTACATTGTATGCCTTTCAAATTATTCTCTATTATAGGTTTCACAGCAGAAGTTAGAAATCTCTTTAGCTAACTAGATCCTTTAAAAAAAAAAAAACAAAGGAAAGCACTTTGCTTACCATCTGTGTAACATTAACGCTTTCACTGAAGAATGATTACTATGTAAGTTAAGAAATATTTAAGTCTATTTAAAATAACAACAGCAACATGGCTATTCAGGCATTCATCTCCTATTATAAAAAGTCAGAGCCTATATGAGCTATGTAATCACCTCAGAGGGCCAGCATCTTTCTCTAGACCAGAAAAAGAGAAACACAAATCATGACCCTATGAAAGCAGAAGCAAAGCCTTCTTTACATTGTTACCAACACGTTCCACAAAACTTGACCAGCACCTGCAAGGTCTGATTTAACATGACGGGGTCCAAGGGGAAAATAAAAACTTTAAATTTAATTCTATTAGTAGAAAACAGATTATGTTATAAAGAATATGATAAAATTATCCATAAACGGCCATCAGAAAAATCTGACCATCTCTTCTCTTTAAAGTACATTGAACCAAGAAAAATATGTTGAAATGTTTAGAGGCTCATTCGCGTTTTCCTATAAATCAGGCTTCTTTATCTCCAGTATGCCATATACTATGTCCGTGATTTGACAAGTTCTTTCTAATTACCCACCTTAATTACAGTAATTATATAGTTTATAGTAAATGCAAGTAACAAGGTTCATTTCGAAGATAAATTATGAACTACAGGATTTTTTTTTTTAAGATAGAGAAAATGTGAGATGCTCAACCATTCCACTGAATTCATCATCAACATGTGATCATTAACAGTTACATAATTTTGGAGCTAGGCCTTAGGAATCATTCAGACTCACACCCTTATCTCTTTTTTTTTCCAATTTTTTGAGACCGCTCACACTATGCAACTCCAGTTGGCCTGAAACTAGTTATGTATACCAAGGTAGCCTAGATCTCAGAGATCTACCTGCCTCTGCCTCCTGAGTCCTGGGATTAAAGATGTGCACTACCATGCCCAGCACACACCTTTATCTTAAAGTGAGATCATTTTTCCATTACAAAGAAGATCACTTATTCACAATTACCTATTTTATACCACTTTAGTTTAGTTTTAAAAGTACCAGACCTCATTAAATGTACTAAATGAACTGTAAAAAAAAAAAAATGCTACAAAAAAATTAAAACTTAAAAATTAAAAAACCAGTCACAGCTGGTTTGCTCTGAAATGACTTCGGAGGAAAAGTTGAAAACAATACCATTTAAAGTAGAAAGCCTTTACACCACAGAAATAGAGGTAGTCAGAATGTTCATGCTCTAAAATGCTTGTCATTTTTCTATCAAAGTAGCAAAAAAACACTGCAATTTCTTCTTTTTAGATTTATTTGTGTATGTGTGCATGTGTATGCGTGTGCACTTGTGCCTGCCTGAAGGCCAAAAAAGGTGAAACAAGTCAGAAGACGGTGTCAGATTCCTCAAAACTAGAGTTACAGGCATTTGCAGATGTCCAGCTTGTTCTGTGGGAGCTGGGATCTGAACCCAGTCCTCAAACACAGAGCAAGCTCTCTGAACAGTTAAGCCATCTCTCTAGTCCCGCAATGCCAATTTCTATCCAACTTATATCAACAAACGTAACAAATATCAACCAAACAAATGCTCAAAATAGAAAAACAATGAGAAATATACATGATATCCTGTATGGTGCTGAATCTACTGAGTAAAGGAATCAAGATAGACCCCAAAGTACTTACCTTCTGACTATGTGTTATCTGAAGAGTTTTCTAAAGAAATTCCAGTTCATCCTAAGATACTGTTGAAGACAGCACTGGTAAAGGCTGATAAGAACTAAAGGGATAATTATTCTTGATATATAGAGATATAGATAGATAATACATGGATGGACGGACGGATGAATAATAGATTTCTTTCTACAATGGAGACAGAACCCAGGATTGAGCAGTTCACTGACTCATAAGGAAAACAAAACCAAAATGACCTCTGGAATATGAACTGCCACAATTCTTCCATCTTCTCTTCTACTTAAATGAGAAAATCATATTCTAAAAGGTCTCACGTCCCATCTAGAACCCTGTTTGAAACTCAATTTCCCTAAATATCTTACTGATGAAATATTAAGGTGTTTCATACTCCATGGTCTACAAAATATAAAAGCTATACTATTGATTCAAACATCCCTCACTATTGCAGAATTCCTAGGAGTCTTATTCCTTTTTGTACCCCCAAGGAACCTAATACTCTAATGAGCCATAGTTGATAGCAATTAACCTACAAGGTTACTCTGCTCTCCTCCCAGTTTATCACCATTAAAATTGTCAAATTACATATTTATGGATTAAATTGTGAATTTCTTTCTACTCCCTGAATTTGTATGCTGAAGCCCTAACTAACCCCTAGTACCTCAGAATGTAATCAACTGGAAATAAAGCATATGTAATCAGTTAAGATAAAGCTGTACTAGGGCTATTTCTAAGAGAATTCTTGTATCAACACTCATGCAAGGAGGATACACAGTGAACCTCAAGACAGCATGTGAGGGTGCTTGTGGAGGCCAGAGGTGTTAGACTGTGGATGTTGGGAACGCAATGTGGAGCCTCTGAAACAGTAATACATGCTCTTAACTGCTGAGTCATCACTCCAGCCCCCCAAACACATTCTTAAAAGGCTATCACCACAATATTTTTTAAAGTGAGGATTTTACAAATACGTTTATATACTTACATCTAATAATAAGTCACACTAGCACTGTTACATATTGTATCATTTTTAAAGAAAGGAGTCTAAGCTGAGTGTGGCTTTAATCTAGCACTTGGGAGGCAGAAGCAGGCAAATCTCTGTGAGATCTGGGCCAGCCTTGTCTACATAATGAGGACCAGGCTACCTAGATCTATATAGTGAGACCCTGTCTCAAAAAAAAAAAAAGTTGAGTGACTGGAGAGATGGCTCTTGCAGAGTACCCAGACTCAATTCCAAGCACCCACATGGAGGCTAACAGATATCCATAACTCAAGTTCCAGGGGAATCCGAGGCTGTCTTCTGATCTCCATGGGTACTGCAAAACACAGGTGAACTTAATCTACACCTAGCAATACACACATACACATAAAATTAAAATAAAGTATTTGATCTTCGAATTAGCTTTGTAAAAAAAGAATCTAATACAATGATCCAGATGCTAAATGTAAACATCATAGGTTAACTATGACTTTAATTCTTAATAATATGAACCTCTGTTACAGCACTTGGGAGGCTAAGTCAGCCTAGTTTACCTAGTGAGTTCCAGGTCAGTCAGAGCTATACAGTGAGGCCCTGCTCAAAAAAACAGAGAGGGGGAAAAAGGACCTCTGTTCAATAAAAGTATTTGCCTTTACTAGTAGCTGACAGTAACAACGTCATGTCAGAATCTAAAGAAAAAAGAGCTTTGAAATATAAAGCCAAAAATTTTACATTACCAATCTCTTATGGCACCCTGCCAGACAGAAGGGGTCTCCTATAACACATGCTAAAATGATATGATCTGGTCAATAAAAAGACAACTCCAATATCCAATTACGAACATTCAAAACACTTTACTTTCTTTTCACAGCTAATTAGTTCTCAGCAGAAAGCACGATGGGAAGATATACAGTTAATTCACAGAGTCTTAAGAACAATTTGAAAAACATTAACCCCCATTTAAATAGAAAAAGAAAATGAGTATTAGAATTTTGTTCTTTTAAAATGTACTCATCTAATTAATTCAGTCTAGAAAAGTGATCGTTGGACGGATATTGTAGTCTATCTTGCAATAGTGTACTTAAATGAATTAAGCATTATTACAAAGAAAATCACTATACCATATATATTCTACAGAAATTATCCTAACTGTAAAAGGCAGCCAGTGTAAATTAGGGAGAGTCTCTGGACTGACAATCAAGAAATGATTTCTCTTGCCTCTGTATTAATTCTAGATGTGACTGTAGGCAAGAGCATTTCATTTCTCTAGACCTTGGTACCTCCTCTATAAAGGAATTAGACTTAATTATCTCATTTCTCAAAATGATTCCTCAAAGCCCCCTCCCCAAAATTGCTTATCTTAAAATCTGTCACTCCGAATTCCTGATCTTCTATTCTTTCTTCACATGATCATTATCATTATTAATTCATGTGCTATTTAACAAAAAGATGAAGGAATATTACTCACCTGAAAGTTTACTGTCATGTAGCAAATTCTGAAGTTTACTATAAAGCTGGATCATACTGTCCAATTGTCTGTTCATCTTGATGTCTAGTATCCAGGCTGGGGTGTGACACACTGGACATGCTGATCCAACACAGTCCCTTACACAATCACTTAAAAAGAGTTTTTTAAAATTCATCAGAATCTGAACTCCAGAAAGCATATGAACAGACATAAACAGAGGTTGTTCTAGACAGAATGGTGAAACAGTGAGCTTCAGACAGTATGATACACACGCAGAGCAGTAAGGCCCCTCCCCAGTAAATTTACTATGATGAGACATGCGTTACCCTGACATCAGTTTTCAGTTCCCAGCAAACAAATCTATGGCTTCTAACAGAAAGGGTACAGGCATGTAAAGAAATGTAGTTTCAATGCAAAGGACTATGAACCAGAAACTTCTAAAACAGTGAGCCAAAATAAATCCTTCCCCCATTGATACCAGTGGCCTGAATGTGAAACATTGGCCACAGACTCATGTGTTGATTACTTGGTCCTCAACTAAGCAGTGCTATTTTGGGAGGTGGTGAGAACTTTAGGAGATGGAGGTTAGCTAGAGAAGACACTGGTGGTATACCTTTGAAAAGGTTATGGCTGGTGCAAAATCCCCAGCCTCTCCTCTCTGTTTCCTTCCCACAATGAGTAAGCAGCTTCCACCTCTACACGCTCACTCCCAGCAGGTCGCGTTCTGTCTCACAGGTACCCAAAATCAACAGAGCCAAGGACTAGAAACCTGTGAGATGATGCACTGCTTTTCCTCAGTTAACGGCTGGTACCACAGCAGCAAATATCAACTAATATACACTCTTCAATTATCTAAATCACGTACTTTGTCACAGTGATGGAAACCCTCACTCACACACAGCCAGCAGCCTACACATTAGGCAGGAGTCATGGAACAGTGTCTCCCTCAGAGTTCAGAAGAACAAGCCCTGCCCACATATTAGAGCTTAACTCCAGAACAATGACAAAAAAAGTCTACTGCTTTAAGTTACCCAGTCCTTGCAATTTTATTATGGAAGGCTTTGGAAACTAATACTAACTACAAGAATTATTTTGCTAAGTTTTCAAACACTATGATTTTGTTCATTCAAAACTGGGAAATTTTAAAGGGTTTGTTTGAATTATATAAAAGGTATTATTTCTTTTACAAAAACTTAACATAGCTATTTACTAAGCATTTAACTTTGAACCTTATCCTCTTTGAGCTTTATTTTCTTATTTGTAAATGAAAAGTGATCAAGATCAACTCAAGATAATGAATGACTGCCATCTAGTAAAACAGCTACCCAGAACAGCTCTAACTACTTACCTACAGAAGATGTGCTCACATCCTCCTAAGCACACAGGCTCCCTCAGAATATGATCACTGATTAAAGAAAGGAAAATAGTCAACCGTAAGTCATTGTCAGACAAACATTTCATGACCAGTATGTCACAAACCCAAGGCCCAACAACACCTTATTTCTCTTTATCAAAGCAGAAAAAATTAAGAATGCATTTTTCAAAAGACTTTTAATGTGCTAGCTATATACTTCATTAACATACTACAAATAGCAATTATCAAACAGTGTAAATTGAGTATTTGCTGAGAGGTTAGAAGGAGTAACTGTTATTCCTGTTAGAATTTCTATAGTTCCCATAATAACTGTTCAAGGACTAATAAGCACCTCTGAGTGCAACACAATCAGCAGTGGCTTCTTCCAACTGCAAAGGCACATCTTCCCTGGCTGATTCAAAGTGAAGACCATGCATATATGTGATGCACTTACACACAAACAGGCAAAACATTCATATACATTTAAAAAATTAAACAAAGTGGAGGCCGTGAATCTCAAATGTGAACTGCAATTAAAATGACTGTATACTATCAAAATAAGAGCATTTTTGATAATAAAGGGGAGTAATTTATTAAAAAGGGTATTGGGACAAGGAGAACGAATAAAGACTGTTGCAGAAAACGAGGACATTAGGTCACCTTAATCATAATAATCCATGAGTTCCCATAAAAACAACAACAACAACAAACAAACAAACAAAACCCATGCTTGTGTCTTGGTATTAAGTAGCCACGTACTTTTACAGATGTTGACCAAAATGAACCATTCTTTCAATCCACATCAAGTTGACTGGTTCTTGAAGCAATTGCAAATACAAATCATCAAGCTGGCAGTTGCAGACTGAATTGAGAGAAGAGACAGAGGCAAGAGATCCCAGTGCTGTTCCTCAGAAGACCTGCTGTCTTTGACAGTCTTGGGGAAGAACTGGCACTTACTCATGTACATGCTTTAAGTCTTGACACTCAGCGGTAATGCAGAGAGCACCCAGAGAAGCCTTAAAGGATAAACACTTCCTATGTGCCGTTTATTATACGAACCCTAAGACCTTTAGGTATTCACACCATTATTAGCCAATTACCTCTGCACACAAACCACAGATCAGTAAAAACAGTTCTCTTGAAAGATCAAAGTTTTGCATTGCACATTTTAATAGATATGAACATTAACGTGAAACTGAGCTTTCATAAAGAGTGCTAAGAACACAGTAAACATCCAGTTAGCTCAAGCTACTGATACTGAGAACGCTGCTCACTGACATTATAAAATCCTTTACCTTCAAAAACTTACAAAATCTTTTTTCTGCCACACTACATAGAATAGACTGATAAACAGGAGTCTGGGAACTAGAGGATCTTACAATGCTCATGCTGCTCCTGTAATTTCTATTATTTGAGCCACCTAACCTCCTCTTTCCTAATCAAGTGGGCTAAATTCTACCTTGTCAAGAGGTCCCCCTGTAACATAGCAAAAGGGGTCATTGTTGCACTTCTTTGCATATCTTTTGCTACATCAACCTGGCCAAACCCAACTGTTTTCCACCAAGAGTAAAAACCACTCAACCTTGAGGTTCCACCGGTTCCCACAGGTTTAAAAATATTCAGAGCCTCTTTTGATAGTACCCACCCACCTCTAAGACACTCAAGAATGTCTGTCCATGGTGCTACATACACTGCAGGGCTTCCTTCTTTGTTTGCCCAGGCTGTAAAGATCACAATAAGGCAAAAAGATAGCTCAGTGTGGTGATGTACACCTGGATTCCCTGCACTCACAGGAAGCAGGAGGGTCTTAAGTTTAAGGCCAGCTTGGGTTATATAACAAGTTCCATGCCAACTTGGACTATAAAATGATACCCTACCTTAAGGTGGAGGCATCCACACCTTTGCATCTCTATAATGTATTAGATGATCCATCCATGAGTAAGAAGCTAAGCAATGACTAAATGGTGGCCACTCCAAGCTATCTATGCTCCTTAACTGCTTCAAACATGTGAATTTGAGACCCCCCCCCCCCCTTCCCTTGTTACCTCTTTCCCAGTAATCTTACTCTTCCCCCTCAGGACTAAGAGGGAAGCCCTCCTTACATCATTCTTCCTTCTTGACTCAGGTTGCTCTGGTCCCTAGCTCCCCCATCTTCTACTACATCTTCCCTGCTAGAAGTACATAATTCTCACCAATAGAGTCCCCTTTCTTCTTTCACTAAGAGCTAAGCATGCACAGGTAACCTGAGAAAATACTGCCATTGGTTCCTGCCTCCCATTCTGCCATCTGTTCTGACTCCTCTGATCTTGAACAGATAAAAGCTCTGAAATCAGTGTTCTATACCAGCAAATGTCATCCTCTCCATCTTAGCACTGACTCTCACCACAACAAAACTGCTCTGCAGGGTGCTTTAGGTCTTTCTCCTCCCTGACCTCCCTGTGACCATGCACTGACCTCATTGTCCTCCTGAAGGCTCTCCTTCCACCAAGTCTTACTTGTCTCAGCACCATTATCTGTCTATTTTGGCACAGCCGTAGCCATTCGTTGCCTACCCCCAATGTCAACAGATCCTCAGGACAGTCCACAGCCTCCTGGATCTCTCTCGTAATATTGGACTCAAAGTCTAGATTCTGTTTCTAAACCTCACATTTCCTTCCTGATTCTGAACCCTTTATCTCTATTTCTTACCTTTCATTCTACCAATGAGATGCCCTCATGCAATTGGCTGTGACATAATATCCAGAAATAATTGATCAGCAGAGCTAATTGTTCTAATCAGTGAACTAGACTGCATTTTTTGAGGTTCTTCACAAAAGAAACAAGACATAGGAAATGTGAGTGAGAAGCAGGTGCAGGAGTGTGCCAGGGAAAGGAGCAGTAGGGGAGCATGATGGCCATGTTGGGAGAGAGCAAGGCCAAGGGCAAAAGCAGGCAGGAGGCACACACCACAGAGGTGGGGCTCATCCATGTCAATGCCAGACTTCAGGGATGTCGTCAGGTTAGCCAAGAAGGTACCTGAATGA